TTACCATTTGACCCAGCTATTCCACTCCTTGGCATTTTCCCAAACGAATAAAAATCGGTATACTCTAGTGATACCTGCATACCAATGTTTATAGCAGCACAATTCATTAGAGCTACGTTAAGGTACCAAGATGGGTGCCCATCAACAGAAAAATGGATAAAGAAAATGTGATATATATATATATATATATATATATATATATATATATATATATATACATACACACATACACAATGAAGTTCTACTCAGCCATAGAGAAGAATTCAATTAAGGCATTTGCAGGTAAATGGATGGAACTGAAAAACATCATGCTAAGTGAACTCAAAAAGTCAAGGGTCAAAAGTGGAAGCTAGAGAGAAATAAGATATTAAGTGGGGAGGATGGAGTACCATGAAAATAGAAAGGACCACAGTGATGTAGAGGGAGAGGACTGGGGAAGGGGCACAGGAAAAGGGAGGAGCTACTGAATGAAATTGACCAAACTATGCTATGTACAAACATGACTATGCCACAGTTAATTCCACTTTTATGAATGTCTATAGAACACCAATTAAAAAGCAAAATAAAAATAAAAATAAAAGGAAGAACAGTAAGAGTAGAGGAAGAGCAGGGAAGAGAGAAAAGGTGGAGTACTAGGGGTTGAAATGGAGCAAATCATATTACATAAAAGTATGAGTATATCAAAATAAACCCAATATTATGCATAGCTATAATGTATTAATAAAAATACTGAAAAAAACATTAGTTGTCCTTCCTGACTGCTCTGGTTCTGCCAGTTTTACTCCTATTATTTCATAATCAATGTGTCTCCAAATCTACTTCTTAGATTCAGGTTTAAAGGGAATACATCAAAATGACTAAAAAGTACTGGCCCTTCAGCTTAAACTAGCTACTTCTCTAAGTCCCTGATTCCTCAGCTGAATAACAAGGGGAATTACCATATTTGTTTCTTAAGATTGCTTTAAGTGTTAAATGAGATAGAGCACATAGCAGGCATAGCACAGTTCTAGCACATAGTAAATACTCAATATGCTTGTTTTCCTGATGATATTCCATTCCTACAGCCACTGTTCTGTCCCTGGACTACTGCCTTAGCTATGGTTCTGGGTTCTCTCTGTCCCTTCACCTTACTGACCCAGGAATTCCTGGTTCAGGCTCTACTTCAATTTAACTCCCTCATTTTTCTCTATCCCTTTAAGGAACCATCCTGCTCCCTCCTGTGACCCCCAAACTATTGGAAAAGAAATCTCTAGTACTCTCAAACTCTTGTCTTATTTCACTTTTATGTTTTTCTGCCCTCCCCAGGATGAACCTGTTTCCATGATAGATCCTCTTACAAAGCTCAAGTTTATGCCCCCACCTCTGCAGGAATATAAGAAGGAATAAACAAGCTACCCGCAGCCTGAAATGGACTCATTTTATCTTCACAGACTCATTCCTCATCTCCAAAAGACCTTCCATGGCTTGGTGTCCAACATGAAAATTTCCTCTCCCTATAAATAGCTGCCAAAACCCAAAGCAACACTACTCCTAATCCATATTTTCTCATCCTTTTAAATTTAGAGAGCTTCATCTCCACCCAAACTTCATGTGCCTTATCTTTGAATACATCTGGAGGATCATTAACTCAGCCTCACCCCTGAGAAATTAAATCTAACACTTTGCCCTTTAGCCACAACCTGTGTAAATAATCCTTCATGCTTTCCACACCTACTAGGTTTACATTTTGCCTAAACCTTGACCTCTAAACACAAAAAGGTTTATAATTTGCATAGTCCATCAGAATCTTTCAGAATACTTGACTCTCTTCCAAAGCTTGCTACCTCCTAACACAGTCTTTATGGTCCCCTAAAATCTCTGACATACTCATTTCCTAGGCATAAAATCACTGTTCTTCAATTATCATTTAGTGTCATAATGAACTTTGGGAAAAATACAGAGTGTGGTACTATGAGTGCTAAATTTGTCTAGTGGCCATCAGTTTTATATCCACTGTTAACTGTCTGATATATTCCCATCAATGACTGTGCCATGCCTTCTCCCTCTTTCTCAAGCTACCAAGCCATCTCAATTTTTCCACTGCACAAAGAAACCCCAGCACTTAATTACCCAAGTCTGCCCCACAATGGGTCCCCCTTGTCCCTCTTTCTCTACCTATTAAAATATCAGTAACCATATTCATCTGTGCACTTGTCTTCTGTCTGTGTCAGTGGGAACAGTGCTTCATCTGTGCTCTTAATATTGTTCCCTACCCCTCAACAGCTTCTAGTTAGCCACCCTCCCTTATGTATTTTACATTTCTTTTTTATTTTGCCTTTGATTTTAAGACATATGCAATCTACCCAAGACCTTGTTGAAGTCTCTGCTTCTTTTCCATTCCTCTTTTTTTGACAACCAATATACCAATCTTCTAAAAACATAACTTACAACCCTACATTCACACATACTCCTGATCACCCCTCAATCCATTCCTACACCTCTTTGCTAAGAATACATTTTCAGAGTGTATAAATACACTTCAACTTAAAACATAATAGTTTTTTTCTCATTATTCATTATCTTCATACTTTCATAGTAAACATTAAAACTGACAATTACCTTTCCTTATTAGAACCTTCGCTGCACTTTTTTTCCATGGCTGAACTCCATAGTCTCCTCCACTAATTGATGTCATGATCTTGGGAAGATGACTTAAACCCTCTGAGCCTTAACTTACTCACTGGTAAAATTAGGGTAAATAAAATTCTTTCTTCAAAGAGTTCATGTTCCATACCATCAGCTACCTATATTCAGATCTAATTATGAGCTTGACACCCTGATACATACACGTTCATCACACATTCACATCCCTAATAGATTGTTATATATTAAGCCATGCACTGGATAGCAATGTATTAGTCAACAACACACCACATATATGACCGTGGTTCCATAAGATTACAATAGAGCTGAAAATTCCCCATTACCTAGAAATGGTATGGCCATAATAATGTCAGAGTGAAAGAATTAGGAACATTTGTGGTGAGCTGTTATAATAAATAGCTCTACTGTACCACTACTTTATAAAAGTATAGGACATACAATTATATGCAGCACATAGTACTCATTAACAATAATAAGTAGTAATGGTACTGGTGTATGTATTTACTATCCTATACACTTTTATCATTATTTTACCATATGATCCTACTTATATAAAAAAGATAACTGTAAAATAATATGCTTTGGGATGCCTGCTGCAATCTCAATGATCTCTTTCTTACTGTGGCTCTTAATTGCATCATTTTCTCCTGTGCTTGATTAATTTTATGTTTTGTTCAGAAGGCCCTGGGAGCAATAGTATGTGTACTATAAATAGCCTAAGTGTGTAGTAGGCTGTGTCATGTAGGTTTATGTAATTTCACTCTACAATATTTACACATTAACTAAATTGCCTAATGACCCATGTTTCTTAACACATTCCCCACTGTTAAGTAATACATGATTCTATGTGTGTGTGAGCATGTGTGTGTGTGTGTGTGTGTGTGTGTGTGTGTCTATGAAGATTTACTTCATACACAAAAACACCCTGGATGATAAATATCTGTTTTAGAGGTAAGGAAATTAAACTATCTAGAGGTAACCTACATATTCAAAGGCACACAATCACATTTTTCAGAGGAAGATTGCAAATGAGATCCACTGGACTCAATGCCTATGTTCTTAACCACAAGATTATATTGCTTCCATAAGATAAAAGAGTTCAAACTTGAGCAGGTCCTTCTGTGTCATTTATTATTTACATAATATGTTTTGTTAATGCTGTGTTTCAGAATGTACTAAATAAACCTGCTAAGCAGTGGACTGATAGAACAGTCTATTGCCTTCCCCCAGGTTTTCATACACATGTCCCTGAGCTCAATAGATAAAGAGAAGTTCTTTGGGCGATTGTGCCTGGCCAACACAAGCAATTCATAGAATTGACTCTGGGCTGCTCATTGATAAAATCAATAATCATGATACCATAATCAAATGCACTGTGCTATAGGACAGACTTTCACATAATAGGTTCCAATTACATAACTGTGTTGTGGCTAAAAACAGACCTCAATGGACAGGCGATGAAACTTAGACTGTGGTGTGATCTCTGGGCTGTTTGCCAGCTACTTCCAGATCTCCCCCTTCTGGCCTTCAGGAGACAAGTAACCTCTGTGGTTGGGAAAGGCCAGTCAGTGACAGAGGGGAAATAGTAGTGGTGTTGCTTCTGAGCTGGGATGCATACCTCACTGCTGAGAAGGCAGATCCTCAGGATTATGTCTTTGCTTCACCTTATAGCAATAATCCAAGCAGTCCTCAGTCCACTTGGCAGCCAAAGGGAAGGCAACACAGCATATCAGCACCCTACCATACGTGGGAACCCATTTATATTGTTATAAGTCATGAAATCTCAGGGCTGTGTTACCACAGTCCAACAAAGCTTTTCTGACTGATATGGTCTCATGGCTTATAAATGACTTATCCAATACCACACCGCTAGAAGATGTCAAAAGTAATATGGCAATGCCCCTCTTCCAGCCTCATAAATGCTAAAGCCCCTGTTCCTTTCATCAGGTCCCATTTTCTTTATATATGCATTGCTTCAAAAGGTTTTTTAAAAATATATTTCCCAGGAGCCGAAATATAAACACAGGTATAGCCTGAGTAGTCTGGGCTTGATATTTTCCATTAGTAAAATAAAGAAAGCTTGAATTTTTCACTGATTTCATAATAAGTGAAATAGTTAAACACTTCTATGTGAACTTTAGAATTCTAAGTAACAGTCAGAAGTATACCTCTCACCTTAAATAACCAACTTATTGGTCAAATAGGAAGTAACAATTAAGTGACAAGGACTGCAACATCGCCTGGGTGTGACCTGCTTTGAGATCCTTTCAAGTGCCAACACTGAGTCTGGATGACCTCACAGGGAAGGTGGAGAATCCAAGGCTGGCCATATAAACATGATCCCTTTCCTAGGGCATGGCCCATTCAGTGGTGTGATTGTCTCTGGGCAGCCTCTGTGACATAGCCACTGGCACCATGAAGATCACTGGAGGTCTCCTTCTGCTCTGCACAGTGACCTATTTCTGCAGCAGCTCAGGTGAGTTAAGGGGGAATAGTGTTCCACACAGCCATTAGCAGATTTCCCAAATAATCCCTCCTGGGATGTGAGTGTCTGAGAGAAATGTCTGGTTGGGTAGATTTAAAGTGTGCTGGTTTGTAAGAAAAAAAAAAATCTCTGGCTTAAGCGAGACTCTTGTGTTTCAACTGGAGCTTGAGGGAGTTGGATCTAAAGTTTTCATTTTCAAAGATTCTTATTTGCATCCATGGATTTAAAAAAAAAACTAATTTTACCTAAGTCTTCCATTTTATAAGGACAATGGAAGTTGTCTGTGTTATTAGATACTATTATTAGTGCAAAGATGCAAGAAAACTCAAGTGTCTTCCCAAATCAGTACAGGGGCATCAACATAAAACACATATCCGGAGATCAAGAATAAACAATTATAAGGTAAAAATGTGCCTGATTAAAATAAGGCATTCCATCACATTCCTTTATGGCTATTGGGAGGGAGAGGATAGCAAAGACGGAGCCTTGTCACAAGCAGCACTGCAATACTTCTGTTATTGACATTGAATCACAATAAAAAGCACTACAAGCTCCAGAAGACAGCCCTTCATTAATAAAGAAAGGATATTTAGATAATTCTCTTGCCTAACCCTTTGGCCATTCAATTTTCTCAGCAAAGAACTGAGATTTTACATATAGTTGAGGAGTGTGCTGAGACTCACTGCCAAAGGAATGAGAACAAAACACTAGTTAATGAGATTTCAAGGCTTTGTTCTGTTCTTAACATTTCCATCTGTATCTGTCTTTCAGAAGTTGCCAGTCAACCTTTAAAAACAGTGAGTATGTTAAATAATACTTGGATTTCTACTTCTGTTGACTGTCAGTCAATGAATACTTGTGAAACATAGATGCATGATTAATTCAACATGTTTAGGGGAGCGTAAATGGGGAGGCAAACATGGACAACAACACAGTGCTCACAGAAGGTAGTTGAAGAAATATGACATAAATATATACGACCATACCTGAAAATTTTTATTAACTCCAGAATTAAAGAAAAGAGCTGACTTCCAGCCAAGAGACTGGTAACATTTTCATGGAAGGAAAAACATGTGAGAGGCAGAACAGAAGCACCTCAATGAATTGCCCAGGCTCTGGATTTCAATCCAATCTTACCACTTACCAGCATTGACGTTATATACAAGTAATATCTCTTTCTAAGTTTTCCTTTCCCCTCCAGAAATAGAGGAAACAGCAGAATTTTCCCTATTCAATTGTTCTAAATATTAAACAAAGAATACTCATGTAAAATTTAAGTGCCTGGCACAGAAATGTTCATCAGTTGCTAACTGAGTATAGTATTAAAAACAGAAATGGTGCTAGTAGAATAGAATTTATCAAATTGGTGATATTATTACTTATAAAAGTAACCTCAGCAACACCATAAGATCTAAGCTGAAACTTCTAGTTCTTGTAGCCAGGGTCACACTGCTTGAGGTCTGAGTAAAGAGCAGGGCATTCTGTTCTGTCTAACCAGGAGGTGGATTGCAGCATTTACAAGAAGTACCCAGTGGTGGCCATCCCCTGCCCCATCACAAACATGCCAGTTTGTGGTTCTGACTACATCACATATGGAAATAAATGTCACTTGTGTATCGAGACCTTGTAAGTATCACATGGGAAGAAAAAGTTCTTGGACCAGGGTTCTCAACTACAATCCATTCTCTCTCCAGGAGCCTGCGTAGCTCTCTATAAACTATACTAATCTCCACCCAGAGTAGCTGATAGGGTCAGAAAACTGGCTGTTGCTCAGTCAGACCAGGGTTGGGCCTGCTTTCTGTCAACTGGGACTGCTCCCATCCAATTACTGAACCTCTGATTCCTATCTGTCAGTTGTGGGAACCTAACGAAACCATGAGTTCTCAGACTGCTGTCCTTGAACCCGGAGATCCTACAAAGGCAAGTCAGAAGTCACCACAAGCTTTAAGTGGGCAATTTGGGGTGGTCTTTAACCCCAAGTTCAGTTTTAAGTAGTGCAGTGCCACACAACTTTGTTTGAAGACAGGGTCCAGAACTCCACAAGAAACAGTAATAGTAAACCGCTTTCCCACATGGCTTCCAAGATGCACATAACCTTAAAGCCGCTTGTTTCTTAGACTACCGTGGTTTGGGTTGCTTTATCCTCCCTTTCCTAGAGGCTCTAAGTATCTGTATCCTTACTGGGGGGTAGGGAACCAAAATGATTGTTTTTCTTTTATCTAAAATATGGGATGCCAGCTGTCAGTACTTAGACCAGAATCCCAAGGATATGTTTTGTTTAGGTATTTTGTTCGGCAAGCACAATGTTTTTGAAGAAATGTAACTAGGCAGATGTCACTTTTTTGATGCAAGACATGCAAATTAGTACTTCCTGTCTCACGCTAAGTCCACTTGGTATCATTTTAAACTCTTCTTTAAGCTACTAGATTTTGGCGACTTGTTTTAGATATTAAGTTTTTCATCTCTGTAATTATCTCAGCAAGTTAGAATATCAAGTTGGAACTGATTCCTGAAGAACATATCTACAGACTTATTTCTATTTAGGAAGTTTTATTTCACAAAAGGAAAGATCTTCTAACATAGACACACTGGGCCCTTGGCCAGGTAATGAGCTGCATTCAAGGGACACTCAAAGGACAGAGCGGAAGTCCTCCCTAATGCAGGTCCAGTTCCATCAAAGGCCTTGCTAACCAGAGAAAGCTGAAGGACCAGCCCCTCAACTTCCACTGTCAGAGTCCTCCTCTTTGCTGTGTCAAGACATGGTGATCAGCCAGGCTCTGTGATCTGCAGACAGCAGACAGAATGGAATTATCCCTTGTCTTGGGGAATTTTGCTCCTGTCTTTGGCAGAAATGGCCTGTGGCAAGAGCATGACTTCAGTTGGAACTGTTTTCTCATTTGTAAAATAAGATTCTATCTCATAATAGCTATGGTTGTATTTTAGTCAGCTTTTTTGCCGTTGTGACCAAAAGACCTGGCAAGAACAATTTTAGAGGAGGAAGCTTATATGGAGCCTCACGGTTTCAGAGGTCTCAGTTCATAGATGGCCAATTCTACTCCTTGGGGCCTGAGATGATTTAGAACATCATGGTGGAAATGTGTGATGAAGGAATGCAGGCCAGGGCATGATGATCACGAAGCAGAGAGACTTCACTCACCAGATACAAAATGTATACCCCAAGGCACACCTTGCAATGCCCACCTCCTCCAGCCACACCCTGTCTGCCTGCAGTTACCATTCAGTTAATCCTTATCAGGGAATTAATTCACCAATTGGGTTAAGGCTCTCATAATCCAATCATTTCACCTATAGACAAGTTTGTGTTGTCTCACATGTGAGCTTTTGGGGGACACCTCAAATCTAAATCATTTCAGGTTGTTTTTAAGATGTTATAAGATTTCCTCTTGTATTAATGAATCTTATTAATCATGTCTTCCCACAGGAAAAGTAATGGAAAAATCCAATTTCTTCACGAAGGACACTGCTGACTTCTGTATAGACATGGACAGAGAGCAGTGATGTCCTCATGGTTCAGTGTCCCTGGGCTCTCACTGACTTCCTTCAGTCTGTGCTGATGTTCTGGGTCAGGTGGAGCCAGATTCGGAGCCACCTTTACTGAAAAGAGAAAGTTGTGCTCTTCCTTATGAACTCATGTCTTATGGACAGACTGGCTTCTTTTTACACCTCAATAAAGGAGCCTCCACAGAAAGTTTATCTTGGCTTCTGTTCATCTGTGTTTCTAAGATCAGATTTATTATCTCCTGAATACAATACTTGTTATTCAGGAGAAAATTTTGTAAAGAAAAAATCCCAAATGGTTTCCAAGAAATATGTGTGTGTGTGTGTGTGTGTGCGTATACACACACACACACACCCAATCAATACTTACACACACATAGACACAAATGCCAGTGAACACTTCACCCTCTCCTGAACTCTATTTACTAAGAACTACTCTCTGGATCATATTGGTTCTTTATATTGACCTCTTTTCCAGCGTTCCCTCAAAGGGAACATTTTCATTCCAAGGAGTTATTCCTAGAAAGAAGGTTTACCTGCCCATTTTTTTCCTAGATGCCCACCATGATTTCTCATGGCCCAGCTCTACTAGAACACATATGGGAAAGCTCCTGCTATGGGGAAGCACATTCACTGCCCTGAGTTCTGACTGCTGAGATGCTGTACTCCTTAGAGTAGAAAACCATATTGAAGAGGCCATCAACCTCCAGAGCCAGTGAGACCATCACACAAAGTTTACCATTCTGTCCAATTTGTACACTTTCACATATTTGAAAATGAATACTTGCTTGCCTCACCATGCAACTAAATCATTCAGGGTCCCTCCAGGTGAATTTGGGTTGGCACAAAATAATCACACAAAGACAGAGAAAATACCTTTTTCTCAGGGTCCAGTGATGGCTGTCAACCTTAGGAGTCCATTGGAAAGAGTGAGCCACCTGAATTCTTTATTATAGAGGGGGACACAGAAGGAAGTTCCATGGAGTGTTCTTTCCAAATAAGGCAAAGGGTCAGGTTTCAGGGGGTTGAGTCTAACTCTAGCTTTGTGACAGGCTTGTGGGCAGTAGATTGATTGACATCTTGGCAAGTCACGCCCATCTTAGGTGCCATATGGGAACACAGGCAGAGAGGAAAGTGTACAGGTTTGTTGCACGGCCCAAAGAACACACAACACCAAGCCAGTTCTCCCATAAGCTCAAATGCCCATAGTTCACATACAGCCCATGGCTGGCCTGCAACGTTTGCTCTTCGTTAAAATTTATCTTTTCCATGATAAAATTCTCACTTAATTCAACGCTTCTCAAGAGGTTATATATGTCAATCATAAATCAGCTCTTCATCTGAATCTATTAGAATCAGGCATTGTACATTTTTTAAACATATTAAGACTAATTTTTTTTTTAGTTATTGATGAACACAATACCTTTATTTTATTTATTTATTTTTATGTAGTGCTGAGGATCGAACCCAATGCCTCACATATGCAAGGCAAGTGCATTACCACTGAACTACAAACCCAGCCTCAGGCATTGTCCTTTTTAAAGTTTGTTGGTATGTTACCCCCAAATTGACTAATCACCCAATTTTTGTCTGATGAATGCAGAGAAATCAAAACTGTTGCCTCCCTACCAATCCTTGCCTTCTATTAATGCAGCCTAACACACCAAGGACTATAATTATAATATAGAAACACTATTAAACATAAACATAATGTGTTTACAAGTGCTAGGCTTGCTGCATAAGAATAATGAGAAACTTGTTAAAATAAAGATGCCTGGACTCCACCCCATTTATTATAATTTAGCAAAGTGGAGAAGCCTAAACAATCTTAATATTTAGTTGGTGTACATTAGGCACTAGAAAACTCATAGTTATCTAACCCCCTCAATATAACAGGGTCCCCATGAAAAGAAAAATCATGAGATTACTAGGAAAGTGAAACCTGATCTGGAGAAGCAAAATCCAACGTGGCAGAACTGGAGTCCTTCTTGGCAAGTAAGAACTGAAACTGGCTTTCACTTCTCCTCCTAATTGGACCATAATAACACTCCTACACAGTAGCCACTGTGAGGTTGCATTCATTTAAATATGAACTTTGGTAGAAGAGTTTAAACAGAACATCTGCTCAACACCATGCCCACTCTAAAGAAGTAACCTTTTCACAAGAATGACACGTCTTGTCTGAGTCTCCTCACTTTGGCATTTTGGCTTTCCTCTGGTGAGAAAGTCTCTCCTCATCTATGAGCATTCCCTGTCTGGAAAATTTAGAAGCATACTTTGGAGGAAAAACAGGTGAGTGCTAAATCACCCAAATTTTGTAATAAGAAACAAAAAAAAATAGTTTTTCACATTTACTATATACATATTTTTTTAAATTCAATCTATATAAAGTATTTTAAAAGAACAACTTTTGGTCTTTGTCTTTTTCACTCAGTTTTCTTTTTTTCTATATCTTCTTGGTAGTTCCAAGCATAAGATTAGTTTGACTCCATTTATTATCTATCAAGTTTTAAAAGTTGTTTTGAAATTACTGCATCCATTTAAGTTTTTAAATTTTCTTTTCAAACATAACTTTATCATTTATAAAATAATTTAATGAGCATTTTTCTAATACCTTATTTTAGTTAATGAATCAGGGTTTATAATACGAACAACCAAAAATAGGAGTGATTCAAATTAGTCTCACTGACGGGTGATATTGATGATCACAGACCACCAGCAGCTGTTTAAAATCAACGACGTTTACACATATTTACATGTATGGCATATATGTGTTCAATTCCTTTTTCCTCCATTTTCCCAGGAAAAGTCAAAGTTAATCTTCACTACATGGAAAGCTGCTAACTTAGACAAAAACGAGTGTAAAGTGGATTTCTGATAAATTTTTACCTTTCCAAGTTCAGGCCATAAAAGAAAAAATGATTTAGTTCAGTTTTGCTCATGTATTTGTGTGACCATCAGCTTTTGAACCTTGATAGCTTTATTTTATCCTCATCATCATTGTCTTCATCTTAAGGTCCCACCAAGTGGCTCAGAAAGCACAGGAAACCTGGTACAGAAATCAAGCATGCTTCCCCCAGCCTGAACATTTTCCAGGAAGGTCATGTCGTATCTACAAGAATCTCCTTACTTAAAAAATTAAGAGGATAAGCATTCCTTATCTGAATTTGCCATTTAATTGTCATGAAGATTTATACTTTTTTTTTAAAGTAATTTTCTAATTTAGCTCTTCTATTTAAGTTTTAGATCCATTTTGGGTTAATTTTTGCATATGGTTTCTTTCATTGTTGTCCAGTAGTCCTAGCACCAAGTTTTGAAAAATCTGTTCTCTAAAGAATTATAATAACACTCTTGTTAAAAATCAGTGCACCATATATCCAAAATATGCAAAGAACACAAGCTACTCAATAACATGAAAACAAGCAGCTCTATTAAAACATGAGCAAATGACCTGAACAGACATTTCTTGAAAGAAGGTGTACAAAATGGTCAACAGGTATAAGGAAAAAAAACATTCAACACCTTTAATAATCAGAGAAATGTAATTTAAAGCCACAACGAGATATCACTACACATCTGTGAAACTGGCTGTATAAAAAAAGAATGAAGCGGGCTGGTGATATAGCTCAGTAGCTGAACTTCGCCTATCATATGTGAGTACATGAGGCCCATAAATGTGTACAATTATTACTTGTCAGTTAAAAATAAAATAAGACTTTAAAAACCCAATTCTCCATAAATGTAACAGCTTATTTTGGACTCTCATTTCTATTACATTAATCTATATGATATTGTCATACCACACTGTGCTGACTACTATCACTCTGTAGTAAATTTTAAAATTAGGAAGGATGAGTTCTCCAACTTCCTTTTTTTTTCAAGATTATTTTACCAGTTCTGCACAATTTATATTTTCACAGGAATTTTAAGAAGAGTTTGTTCATCTTTCCAAGAAAGGTGGATAAGATTTTGGTGGGGGTTGTCCTGAATCTGTAAGTCAATTTGGAGAATACTGTTATCTTAATAATATTAAGTCTTGCAATATTAGATTATTTTGCTATAAAGGCATTGGAATAGATACCAAAATAGGTATGAGATCCTGAGATGAGGAGTATATGTGAAGCTCTTGGTTTATTCTTATAATAATAAATTCAGAATAAAAAATTAAAAGTTTAAAAAATTGGTTCTTCTTGCTTGTCATGAAAAGCAGGTGTTGGTAATCTGATTAACCTGTTCCAATGAAGGAGACCAGTTTTCAAGAGCAAGGTACTAAGTGACTTTAAAATATCAATCCTGTGTGAACTAGGGAAGGATAGGCAACACAGGCTGTGTTCTTAAGTAAATTTTCAAATAAACCACACAGTTCTTCCCACTTGCTAATTACCTAACATAACAGCATACTACAGGTACACAGCCACACCAATGTTTATAGCAGCACAATTCACAATAACTAAACTGTAAAACCAACCTAGATGCCCTTCAATAGGTGAATGGATAAAAAAAAAATGTGGTACATATACACAATGGAATATTACTCAGCAATAAAAGAGAATAAAATCATGGCATTTGCAGGTAAATGGATAGAGTTAGAGAAGATAATGCTAAGGTGAAGTTAGCCAATCCCAAATAACCAAATGCCAAATGTTTTCTTTGATATAAGGAGGCTGATTCATAGTGGAATAGGGAGAGGGAGCATGGGAGGAATAGACGAATTCTAGACAGGGAAGAGGGGTTGGAGAGGAAGGGAGGGTGCATGGGGTTAGAAATGATGGTGGAACGTGATTTATTATTATCCAAAGTACATGTATGAAGACACTAATTGGTGTGAATATACTTTGTATACAAAACAGAGATATGAAAAATTGTGGTCTATATGTGTAATAAGAATTGTAATGCGTTCTGATTAACCTTTTATGTTGTCACATAAAAATAAACAAAAATATAAAAGAGTTGGTAGCAAACCCCCCCATAAGTTTCACATGTTAATTTTTATAAAATTAAAAGGATAATAGAAATTAAACAAAAGAAAAGAAAAATTTGAGGACTCTTTTGGAAAAAGAATCACAATTTCATAGTATCAGTTCAAATTTCATTTTGTTTTTCGTTATAAAACTCGGGGCTGCCTGAAAGATCTTGCTTATATGATGAGACAAGACTGCACTGTGTTGAAAATATTTCTGAGAAGCTCAAGTGATTCTGGGTCAAGGATTTCCCAGTTCCCAGATTTTGCAATGGTTCTTTTCCCATAGGTGAACACTTAACCCTTGCAGATGCTGGGATGACTTTTCACCAGAGAAGAGGCTTAAGTAACCAGTCAGCCCAATCCTCAGATACTCATCATAGAGTCGCTTTTATGTTACTCCTCCTCTGACATGTATCTAAATATTGAAATTCAGCTGTGTCTTCTTGGACTTCAATTCACATAACTTTCTTATTCCCTGGCTTTGAGCATCCCCTGTTAAAGTCCTCAACCTCTATGGGAACTGCTGTGTCTGGACCATCCTCTCTCCCTTCTATACTAACATTTAAAAGAGTTGTGTGTCTTAGGGCTCTAGTCCACCTAACATCCCTCAAGTAGAACTTCCCTCACTGAATATCTGTTTCTAGAGTATAAAGTGAGACTCTGTTAAGTCATGATGGACCTGGATGTTTGCTATTTCTTAAACTATGACTTTAAGAAAATTGGTCCTGCCAAATAGTTTACCCCTCTCAGGAGAAGGATGAACTGGAGTTTTTGAGACACTTACTCTGAATTCCAATACAAAGTAATATAATCGGAAACCTTGAAGATATATGATTTAACCACTCTGAACCTCATTTCACCTCTCTAAGAAGGAAATAGTAATGCCTACATGTTCTAGAATCTGAACTAGATGAGTTTCCATGACAGATGAGGAGGAGAACATTGAGAAGATAACAATTGGAAGGGTGGCACACAGCAGTGGTAAATAAAAGGGGTTAAGGTAAGTAGGCTTTTTGAAAGATTCCTTGGGAACAGGTTATCATGTTAAACAGACTTTCTATTCCAAAATCTGTAATTCCTCAAGAAATGTCATGGGCTGGCCTAAAACTGTACTAAATTTTTTTTGTACAGTTTATTGGGCTCACTACACATGAGGACTGACAGGAAAACTCCCCAGAAAACCACATGACTTGTGTGTTGCCACCTGCTTTCTGAGTTGATTCCTGAAAAGATCAACAATAAGCCAAGACCACCTTCTCTCGCGATCAAGAAATGACACACACTTCAAGTTAGAAATGAAATGTCAGTGATCACCTATACCAATGTTTCACCTCACAGGGAAGCTTATAAGATAATAAAGTTGTTGGCTTTTTTTTAAATCCAGAGAGGTTTTGAAGAGGATTCCCATACTAAAGAAAAAGTAATAACACTATCTTATTTTGTCTCATAATGATGAAATTTTATCACAGCATAATTCTAGAATTGGGGAACTTTTTATCTAGATCAGTCATTTTCAAATTATTCCAAGTATCCTAGAGGATTTTATGAGCATTACTCAGTGATCACAGTCGGAAAATGGGGACTAGACCCTAGGCCACTACATTCCCTCATTCCCACTTCAACTAACAGAGCTTCTCTGTCTTCTGTTTAATATATCATATTTCTATGTAATGTTTCCAACTTCTCTGCTTGCTCTTGTGACCTTGAATAACTGCTTAATCTCTCCATGCTTTGTTTTATTCATTTTTAAAGTCTGGTAGTAATAATATTTTGTCTCATAAACTTGTTTTAAAATTTAAACGAGTAAATACCCATACAGCAGTTACAATAGTATCTGACACATAGTACCTTCACAGTAAGTATTCTTGTTATTATTACAATTGTTATAAAATATCTATTTTTCTGTGAAAATATGGATGGAGTCCACGTCACAATGCATACAGGAATCACTTATTCAGTGGCTCTGACAGGTATCCACCCAGACTCATGGGGCACTTCAAATGACAAGTTCTTATTACTTCATTGTCATTGTCAAACATCTCTGATCATCACAAAGTTCCTTTATCTATCATGCCAAGATCTTTTATTCCAATCAGGCCACAAACATACAGAACTTGCTTACCTTAAAATAGTCTCCAAGTGATTTCTGAGTCTCTTCTCCACATCACAGATGCCATCTTTGCCTTTATCATCATGATCATTGTCACAAAAAGCTCTTGTGTGTTCATAACTTGTCACAAGCTAGATATGAGTACTTTACATTTATGACCTCATTTAAAATGCACAGTGAGGTTGTGGTGGAGGTATCACTAACTTTATCCTGAAAGTTTATTTACATTATTCTGACATTTGTGAAGACAACAAGGAAGATTTATGTAAGACTTATTACAATGAGAGTATTGTAATAGAGAGAAGAGATTAAGCTAAACTCCAAGTACAAGGACAAGTGAGGATTTATAGCCAAGGAGAAGGGATTGGATCTGTGAATGGAAAATTACTTCAAAGAAAACATCAAGGTAGGGGGATTTTTGTTAAACTGACCTAACAGGATTCTTGCTAAGGCAGAATGTCCTATATCAAAGATGGAGGATGAGGAACTTGATCAAGTATCAAGCATGATCAGATATCAATGGTGCTGGGATAATTTAATGGGATTTTTTTGTTTGGGGGTAGGCCAAAAACAGGATAGGGTCCAAGGTCAAAGCCTAGTCAAGAAAAGGGTTCAGAGGATGCTGATGAAAGTTTGGTGGAGGAGAGTCCTTATGACTACATGAGGGAAACTACAAGTTTCTCATTGATCATGGCATGCCCAAGGTATAATACTGTCTCTAGCACAGAGTAAAGGTTCATTAATATTTAATTAAAGATAAAATGAAGAAAAAGAAAGTAGACATATAGCAGATAAATAACTTGTACAAAATCATATAGATATAGTGGAGCTAACAATAAATTCAGGTGTACAAGACTCTCAGTTTTATGTCAGGAACATTATGATGCTTGGTCTCAGACCATCCCACCACGAGTTCCATCTACCTTTATCCTTTTAAAGGGACACAAGTATAAATTTCAGTTTCTCAGCCCCCAAAAGGCATTCCTTCCAACAGCCCTATCATCTCTGTCTATCAAAAATCAAGAGCTAATTTCAAGATATTCTTTTTTCTTGATTTTATTCTATTTTTCTTTGTATTGGTTCTTTTAGTTATACATAACGTTAGGATTTGTTTTGACATAAATTATAAAAGCATGGAATATAATTTGCTCTGATTCAGTCTCTAGTACTTCCCTCTTTCCTACTCTCCTTTCTCTTCCTGTTCCCTCCCTCTACTCTACTGATCTTTTTGCTATTTACTTAGTTTTTTTCCTTATAGAGTCACTCTATTTAAAAATTTACATAATATCAGTGTTCTTATAGCATTTTTTTAAAAAAGTTTCAAATACAGCATGGCTTAAGAAAAGCACAATTTTTTTGGTCTATTGGAGTGTACCATATTAAATAGAAAATGTCACTAAACATGCATGTGCTTGTGGCTCAGGGCAAGGTTACCATCTTATTCTTGATCCATATCAATTTCAGTGAACTTTTTGAACTTCCTTGAGACTTCACTTCCCTATCTGTAAACCAGAACAAGCAATGATAATGGCTACCTGATAACTTTGTTATGAAAATCAAACTATAAAAGTGAAAGTATTCATAAAATCTTAGGCTTTCTGGTTCATAAAGAGAAAACAACAGCAATATATAAGAATAGCACCAGTTTTACTAGGTTCTATTAGCTATTGAAATGGTGTTGTTATTACTTGTCTTTCAGAAAAAAAAAGAATTTCCGTACCTAGCAGACCTATTTGACATCACTTCAGGATTCTGTCACTGGAAATTGCTATTTCACAATTGAGGTGGGAGCTCTTGACAATATAAAAATATCTAAGTAGCTGGGAAGATACTAGAAGGTCATTTATTTTACCTGTATCTGACAGCCCTCCGCCACTTCAGCACTATGAGAACAACATCCTTTATCCTACTCCTGGTTGTGGCACTTGCAACCATATTCAGTGAGTATCTCTCATAACACTACCCTTGCCCTGAGAAAACAGCTCCTCCATCTCTGCCTACATAATATTAGAATGTGCTTATCACATAGGTCATAAGGAAACTTTCTGAAGCATTACTTTTTTTGTCTCTACCAATGAATCACTAAATCACATCATCTCTGGGGTTGAACAATGTCAATGGTCAGCTAAGACCAAATTCTAATCCATACTAACACTTTGTGTAACTTCTTATGTTATCGTCCAGATTCTATTTGACTTCATAGCACCATTTGTGGAGGTGTCTTCTTTTCATAGAACATTATAATCTGTTGTTTGGCTACATGAGCAATTCTTCTTCGATTCTGCTTCTATTATTGAGTTAAAAAACTGTCTCCCTGCCAGGCATGGTGGCTCACACCTGTAATCCCAGTGAGCCAGGAGGATCATGAGTTTAAAGCCAGCCTCAGCAATTTATCAAGGCCCTAAGTAACTCAGCGAGACCCTGTCTGTAAATAAAATATAAAAAGGGGCTGAGTATGTGGCTCAGTGGTTAAGTTTCCCTGAATTCACTCCCCAGTAACCTCCCCCAAAAAACTGCCTCCCTAGAATTTTTAACCATGAGTTTAGTTTCTGCCACCTACCTATGCCTACTATATAAAAGCAGATGTTCCTTTCATATTAGTGTTTTTTTGTTTTTTGGTGGTGCTGGGGATCAATCCCAGGGCTTTGTGCATGCTGGATAAGCACTCTACCAACTGAGTTATTTCCCCAAACCCCAGTGTTCCTTTCATATAAGAATTTTTTTCAGTATTTACTGAGCTTTTATTATAAAAAGAAAAAGAATAAGACAAACTTCTCATTTATCATAGCACCTTTATTATTTTTTTTGACATTTCAATCATTTTCCAAAAGCAGGGAAGAAAAAAATCTGTGTTAGAAGCTTCGACTTTTGATATTAAGTGGATACAGAGTTCTGAAGAAAAGCTTACACTGTCTTATAAAACTGAGACATAAATCAAATATCATTTCTCTAATAAGATTAGGTTATTCCAGAGTTTAACTTAATATTGTCTTTGTTTTACTTCCAGATATAGACTGTTCCACAGAGGAGTACCAGGTCAGTTAATCATTCTTGATATAAAAACCCTAATTTTAAAGAATTTTAAAGGCCAATATCAGTAAAGAAATGTTTGATATTATATATTAACTATATTTATGTTGAAGATTTAATTTCTGAGTATCAAAATTGGTTTTAATTCTAACATTATAGAGTGATCGCCCCAAAATGAAGGTGGAAGAACAAATTGATGAGACATTAATATCAAAGTTAAAAAGTCTTGAGTTTCAATTCTACCTCTTTTTCATGTGGCCCTAGGAAAAGTTACTGTGAGATTGTTCTAAGACCTAAACCTACAGAATTTGAAAATGGCCTCTAAGAGAATAAAGACTGTTATTTCTACTTGTCCTTCATGGTTTATTTACATAATGATTATTGCTGGAAAAAAAACTGGGTATAGTAGTAAAAAAACCAACACTCAGGCATTTTAAGTACTCATTTTAACTCTGTTGATTATTAACTATGTGACCCTATGGCCCGGACAATTTCTTTTATGTCTGTGAATCTTTTATTTTATCTATTAAAAAATAATAAGGTTAAGATATAAGCCTAGTCCTACAGGCCCCAATTCAAGCCATCCTTCACCATCTAATAGTTGTGAGAATGAAAAGGGTTAATGAAGGTTAAGCACTTGGTAGCCACTGTCTGAATTATATCACACAAACCCCAATTCTGGGCTTTGAGCAATCAAGGGGAAGTAAAGCCAGGCCGGCATGGACTTATCAGGGGCACCACTATCTCCTGCTACACTAGCCCCTGAGGTCTTCCTGCCTTTGTGTCATGCTTATTGATCCTTGCATCAGCAACACTCAACTCATTCCCTAAATGTAGGAGATACATGGAGGATAGCAATTGATGAATGAAAAAATTTATGAGTGGAGCATATCTGGAGGCAAAGGTGAATTCAGGTTTGAGTTTGAGCACTTTCCAGTTATACCATCAGAGATAAACAATTAGTACAATACTGCTTCTGGAATTCTAGAACTGAATGAGCTGAAGATGCAGAATATGTTTTACAGAACTGGAGTTTGTGCCGTCCAGGAAGTAAAGACAAAGGACAAAAACAACAGCCATTATTTTTTTAGTGTTTTCCATGCCATGTAGTTCTAAGCACTGTACACATGTCTTCTCCAATATTTATTTTGTCTTTCAACCTCACAATGCAGTTATTACTACTTTCATTTTGCAGGTAAACAAACTAAAGATTGGAGAGGTGAAGTAACTGCCCCAGGGTCATATAGTAGAATTTTAATTCCATATTTGACTGTATTGTTCACATTCTTCAGTATGCTCAAAGATAACAAATCCAGAAAATTCTTTCTCAGAAATTTTCTACCTACTCCCATAGGTAGATCACTGCTTTGACTTTGCTCCCAGAGTTTAGAACTGTTATTCCTAACTCTAATTTAAAATACATTTGTCTGTCTGTGTGCTGGTGAAATGTATAGCAAGTGTACAAGAGAATAACCAATAACTAATGTTAAAAGTTACCAATGATGTACACTAGTTCTTAAAAGTAAAATAATTATTCTTACAACACTCCTATTGAATTTTATGAGTGAAAAAGATAAGTATCAGGGTAATTCACACAGAACACTTCTGGGTAATCCCTTGAGAATGGGTACATTTGTGGATATGCTATGTGTGTTGAGAACTGATGAATCAACCACTGTAGTGAGAAAATTCTATTTTGAAATAAATTATGATTTTGTAACCAACTATATAAAGATGTCTATTGCTCATGATCTTTTTCTTGTTTTTGTTGGTACCAGAGATTGAACTCAGGGGCTTAACCACTGAGCCACATCCTCAGCCCTTTTTATTTTTTTATTTTGAGACAGGGTCTCACTAAGTTGCTTAAGGCCTTATTAAGTTGCTAAGGCTGGTCTCAAATTTGTGATCCTCCTATTTCAGGCCCCCAAATTGCTGAGATTATAGGCATGCGCCACCATGCCTGGCTGCTTATGATTTTTCTATCCAAAATAAAATATCTTTATACATGGTGTATCTAAAATGGATTAGATAAGGACCAACAATTTTACTAATAAACAAGTGCATGGACTTACTTGGACTTGCTCTGGACTTGCTTGGCAAATACTAAATCCTTGGAAATAAATATGTGATTGAAATAATTGAACTTTTAATGTTTGTTTTTAGGTTAATTGCACTCCTTATAGAAACCTACCACCAGAAGAACTAAGATTTTGTCCTCTAGTCTATGAACCAATTTGTGGATCTGATGGCAAAACCTATTCCAATGAATGTATCTTTTGTTTTAAAGTTAAGTAAGTACTGAAATATTATATTTTTTTTATATTTGAGTTAAAGTTATGTGCTAAATACCACAATTAGAGAAATAGTTCAGGGCATACAAACTATGGGAAACATATCATATTGACTGTGGAAAATCAGAACCCTGTGACTCAGAGGATTTGAAAGTCCCTGGTGTCATATCCCCATGTATTTTGATGTACACTCATTCTTAAAAGTAAAATAATTATTCTTACAACATTCCTATTGGACTTTATGAGTGAAAAAGACAAGTATCATGGTAATTCATACAGAATACTTCTGGGTAATCCCTTGAGAATGGGTACTTTTGTGGAATTAAGCTTCAGAATCAGAGAAGCCTAGAATCTCCAAATTGGAAGGAAACTTGAGATCATCTAGTTCAACTTTCACCTTGTAATATATTATGTAGAGACTCTGTACAAAGACGTCACCAAGAAATCCCATAGTCCATGCTTATTTCAAGAGGCAAGGAATGCCCGCCCCCCTCCCTCAGCATATCAATCCACATCTGTTAAAATGAGCTATATTAATTTTCAACTTCAGTAACTAGGTTTGGAAATGCAAAAATTCCCCTAATGATTGTACAAAAGGGACCATATCTGAAATAAACCTAAAGATTTGATCTGTTTTACAGTATGATATTTCAATGAAATGTATATTTTAGATATAGTAAAAAATATATTTTAAAATGAAATAGGCAAAAGCATTTCAAAGGTTAAAAAATAACCTTTGAGTAGCATAAGATCAAAAAACATGAAATGCTGAGTGATATCCAAGAGTGTTTAGAGTTAGGAACAGTATAGTGCTCCACTGTAATCTCAGAGACTCAGGATGCTGAGATAGGAGGATCCAAGTTTGAGGTCAGCCTCAGCAACTTAGAGAATAAGTCTCAAAATAAAAAATAAAAAGGTCTGGGGATATACTACAGCTCAGTGGTAAAGTGTCCCTGGGTCCAATCCCTGATACCCACCCTCCCCCCCAAAAAAAAGAGTCTAGAAAAATATTGGTTCTTATAAGTATTTTCAAAATATATAGGACAAAATATATATGAAATGAAACCAAATCTAAAATTCATGACATACTGTCCTGGTTCTTTTTTAATGAAAAGTTATAACGCGGCGCCGGCAAAGTAGAGGGAACTGTGACCACGCACAGAGCAGGCCCAGCGGCCTGCTGAGGGGCAGAGCCACCCCCCATCCCCCGCCCCTGCCAGGTGACCACCGACAGAAAAGGCCCAGTGGCCCGCGGTGGGACAGAGCTTCCAATCACTCCTGCAAGGTAGGCGGGCCTGCGACCCACCAGCAGAGGAGGAGCAGCGACCTGCTGAGAGGCAGAGCCGCCCCCTCCCCCTGCACCGGCAAAGTAGAGGGAACTGTGACCACGCACAGAGCAGGCCCAGCGGCCTGCTGAGGGGCAGAGCCGCCCCCCACCCCTCGCGCCTGCCAGGTAGGGGAACTGTGACCACGGACAGAGCAGGCCCAGCGGCCTGCTGAGGGGCAGAGCCACCCCACACCCCACGCCCCTGCCAGGTGACCACCGACAGAAAAGGCCCAGTGGCCCGTGGTGGGACAGAGCTTCCAATCACTCCTGCAAGGTAGGCAGGCCTGCGACCCACCTGCAGAAGAGGAGCAGCGGCCTGCTGAGAGGCAGAGCCGCCCCCTCCCCCTGCACCGGCAAGGTAGAGGGAACTGTGACCACGCACAGAGCAGGCCCAGCGGCCTGCTGAGGGGCAGAGCCACCCCCCACCCCCCGCGCCTGCCAGGTAGGTGGAACTGTGACCACCGACAGAAAAGGCCAAGTGGCCCGCGGCAGGACAGAGCTTCCAATCACTCCTGCAAGGTAGGCGGGCCTGCGACCCACCGGCAGAAGAGGAGCAGCGACCTGCTGAGAGGCAGAGCCGCCCCCTCCCCCTGCGCCGGCAAGGTAGAGGGAACTGTGACCACGCACAAAGCAGGCCCAGCGGCCTGCTGAGGGGCAGAGCCGCCCCCCACCCCTCGCGCCTGCCAGGTAGGGGAACTGTGACCACGGACAGAAAAGGCCCAGTGGCCCGCGGCGGGACAGAGCTTCCAATCACTCCTGCAAGGTAGGCGGGCCTGCGACCCACCTGCAGAAGAGGAGCAGCGACCTGCTGAGAGGCAGAGCCGCCCCCTCCCCCTGCACCTGCAAGGTAGAAGGAACTGTGACCACGCACAGAGCAGGCCCAGCGGCCTGCTGAGGGGCAGAGCCACCCCCCACCCCCCGCGCCTGCCAGGTAGGTGGAACTGTGACCACTGACAGAAAAGGCCGAGTGGCCCGCGGCAGGACAGAGCTTCCAATCACTCCTGCAAGGTAGGCGGGCCTGCGACCCACTGGCAGAAGAGGAGCAGCGGCCTGCTGAGAGGCAGAGCCGCCCCCTCCCCCTGCACCGGCAAGGTAGAGGGAACTGTGACCACGCACAGAGCAGGCCCAGGGGCCTGCTGGGGGGCAGAGCCGCCCCCCACCCCCCGCGCCTGCCAGGTAGGTGGAACTGTGACCACCATCAGAACAGGCCAGACCTGCAACCGAGAGACAGAACAGGCCCAGTGGCCTGAGGAAGGGTAGAGCCGCCCCCCCCACCCCCGCACCTGCAAGGTAGGCGGACCTGCGACCCACTGGCAGTACAGCCCCAGAGGCCTGCAGAGGGGCAGTGCCGCTGCCTGCACCTGCAAAGTAGACAGAACTGTGACCACCCACAGAACAAGCCTAGCGGCCCGCAGAGGGACAGAGCCGCCGCCCGCGCCTGCGAGGGAGACTTTGCAACTATACAAGACCAATATAAATATATAGGGGGAAAATTCAATAACACAAGAGTTTCACTAAGTAGAAAGGAACGCGAACAGTATGAAGAGACAAGGAAAGAAAGGACCACAAGCAATGCAGGTCAACTCAACGTTAGAAGAGGTAATAGCTGCAGCAGATGGAATGTCAGATAAAGAATTCAGGATATACATGCTTCAGATGATCTGGAGTCTCAAGGAAGACATCAGACAGCAAAATCAGACAATGAAAGATCACTTCAACAATGAATTACATAAACAAATCCAAGAAGCAAAAGATCAACTACACAGGGAAATAGAGGTTATAAAAAACAAACAAACAGAAATCCTAGAAATGCAGGAAGCAATAAGCCAACTTAAAAACTCAATTGAGAATACTACCAGCAGAGTAGAACACTTAGAAGACAGAACATCAGACAATGAAGATAAAGTATTTCAACTTGAAAAGAACATAGACAGCTCAGCAAGACTGTCAAGAAACCATGAGCAGAACATCCAAGAAATATGGGATAACATCAAGAGACCAAATTTAAGAGTCATTGGGATACAGGAAGGGACAGAGTTTCAAACCAAAGGATTGAGCAATCTATTCAATGAAATAATACGAGAAAACTTCCCAGACTTGAAGAATGAGACAGAACCCCAAATCCTAGAAGCCTACAGGACGCCGAATGTGCAAAATCATAAGAGACCCACACCTAGACACATTATAATGAAGATGCCCAACATACAGAATAAGGAGAGAATTTTAAAAGCTACAAGAGAAAGGAAGCAGATCACATTTAGGGGTAAGCCAATCAGGATAACAGCTGATCTTTCAACACAGACTCTGAAAGCTAGAAGATCCTGGAATAACATATTTCAAACACTGAAAGAAAATGGGTTCCAACCAAGAATTGTGTTTCCAGCGAAATTAAGCTTCAGGATGGAAGATGAAATTAAAACCTTCCACGATAAACAAAAGTTAAAAGAATTTGCAGCTAGAAAACCATCTATTCAAAACATCCTTGGCAAAACATTACAGGAAGAGGAAATGGAAAATAACAATGAAAACCAACAGTGGGAGGTAGGACACTAAAGGGGGGAAAATAATCAAAGAGGAAAACAAACCATGTTTAGTAACATAAATAAACAAATATGGCTGGAAGAACAACCCATATCTCAATAATAACCCTAAATGTTAATGGCTTAAACTCACCGATCAAGAGACACAGGCTAGTAGAATGGGTCACAAAACAAGACCCAACAATATGCTGCCTACAGGAGACGCATTTGATAGGAAAAGACATACATAGGCTGAAGGTGAAAGGTTGGGAAAAATCATATCACTCATATGGACTTCGGAAACAAGCAGGAGTATCCATACTCATATCAAATAAAATAGATTTCAAGCCAAAGTTAATCAAAAGGGATAAAGAGGGATACTACATACTGCTCAAGGGAACCATACACCAACAAGACATAACAATCATAAATATATATGCCCCAAACAATGGTGCAGCTATGTTCATCAAACAAACTCTTCTCAAGTTCAAGAGTCTAATAGACCACCATACAATAATCATGGGAGACTTCAACACACCTCTATCACCACTGGACAGATCTTCCAAACAAAAGTTGAATAAGGAAACTATAGAACTCAATAACACAATTAATAACCTAGACTTAATTGACATATATAGAGTATACCACCCAACATCAAGCAGTTACACTTTTTTCTCAGCAGCACATGGATCCTTCTCAAAAATAGATCATATATTATGTCACAGGGAAACTCTTAGACAATATAAAGGAGTAGAGATAATACCATGCATCCTATCTGATCATAATGGAATGGAACTGAAAATCAACGATAAAAGAAGGAAGGGAAAAGAATACATCACTTGGAGAATGAACAATAGGTTACTGAATGATCAATGGGTTATAGAAGACATCAAGGAAGAAATTAAAAAATTCTTAGAGATTAATGAAAACACAGACACAACATATCGGAATCTATGGGACACATTGAAAGCAGTTCTAAGAGGAAAATTCATTGCTTGGAGTTCATTCCTTAAAAAAAGAAAAAACCAAGAAATAAATGATCTCATACTTCATCTCAAAATCCTAGAAAAAGAAGAGCAAAACAACAGCAAAAGAAGTAGAAGGCAAGAAATAATTAAAATCAGAGCTGAAATTAATGAAATCGAAACAAAAGAAACAATTGAAAAAATTGACAAAACTAAAAGTTGGTTCTTTGAAAAAATAAACAAAATCGACAGACCCTTAGCCATGCTAGCGAAGAGAAGAAGAGAGAGAACTCAAATTACTAACATACGGGATGAAAGAGGCAATATCACAACAGACACTTCAGAAATACAGAAGATAATCAAAAATTATTTTGAATCCTTATACTCCAATAAATTAGAAGATAGTGAAGGCATAGATAAATTTCTTAAGTCATATGATCTGCCCAGATTGAGTCAGGAGGATATAGACAACCTAAACAGACCAATATCAATTGAGGAAATAGAAGAAACCATCAAAAGACTACCAACTAAGAAAAGCCCAGGACCAGATGGGTATACAGCAGAGTTTTACAAAACCTTTAAAGAGGAACTAATACCAATACTTTTCAAGCTACTTCGGGAAATAGAAAAAGAGGGAGAACTTCCAAATTCATTCTACGAGGCCAACATCACCCTGATACCTAAACCAGACAAAGACACTTCAAAGAAAGAAAACTACAGACCAATATCTCTAATGAACCTAGATGCAAAAATCCTCAATAAAATTCTGGCCACTCGGATACAAAAACTTATCAAAAAAATTGTGCACCATGATCAAGTAGGATTCATCCCTGGGATGCAAGGCTGGTTCAATATACGGAAATCAATAAATGTTATTCACCACATCAATAGACTTAAAAATAAGAATCATATGATCATCTCGATAGATGCGGAAAAAGCATTTGACAAAGTACAGCATCCCTTTATGTTCAAAACTCTAGAAAAACTAGGGATAACAGGAACATACCTCAATATTGTAAAAGCAATCTATGCTAAGCCTCAGGCTAGCATCATTCTGAATGGAGAAAAATTGAAGGCATTCCCTCTAAAATCTGGAACAAGACAGGGATGCCCTCTCTCTCCACTTCTGTTCAACATAGTTCTCGAAACACTGGCCAGAGCAATTAGACAGACGAAAGAAATTAAAGGCATCAAAATAGGAAAAGAAGAACTTAAATTATCACTATTTGCAGATGACATGATTCTATACCTAGCAGACCCAAAAGGGTCTACAAAGAAACTATTAGAGCTAATAAATGAATTCAGCAAAGTGGCAGGATATAAAATCAACACGCATAAATCAAAGGCATTCCTGTATATCAGCGACAAATCCTCTGAAATGGAAATGAGGACAACCACTCCATTCACAATATCTTCAAAAAAAATAAAATACTTGGGAATCAACCTAACAAAAGAGGTGAAAGACTTATACAATGAAAACTACAGAACCCTAAAGAGAGAAATAGAAGAAGATCTTAGAAGATGGAAAAATATACCCTGTTCATGGATAGGCAGAACTAACATCATCAAAATGGCGATATTACCAAAAGTTCTCTACAGGTTTAATGCAATGCCAATCAAAATCCCAACGGCATTTCTTGTAGAAATAGAGAAAGCAATCATGAAATTCATATGGAAAAACAAAAGACCCAGAATAGCAAAAACAATGCTAAGCAGGAAGGGTGAATCAGGCGGTATAGCGATACCAGACTTCAAACTATACTACAGAGCAATAGTAACAAAAACAGCATGGTACTGGTACCAAAACAGGCGGGTGGACCAATGGTACAGAATAGAGGACACAGAAACCAATCCACAAAACTACAACTACCTTATATTTGATAAAGGGGCTAAAAGCATGCAATGGAGGAAGGATAGCATCTTCAACAAATGGTGCTGGGAAAACTGGAAATCCATATGCAACAAAATGAAACTGAATCCCTTTCTCTCGCCATGCACAAAAGTTAATTCAAAATGGATCAAGGAGCTTGATATCAAATCAGAGACACGCCGTCTGATAGAAGAAAAAGTTGGCTACGATCTACATACTGTGGGGTCGGGCTCCAAATTCCTCAATAGGACACCCATAGCACAAAAGTTAATAACTAGAATCAACAAATGGGACTTACTCAAACTAAAAAGTTTTTTCTCAGCAAAAGATACAATAAGAGAGGTAAATAGAGAGCCTACATCCTGGGAACAAATCTTTACTCCTCACACTTCAGATAGAGCCCTAATATCCAGAGTATACAAAGAACTCAAAAAATTAGACAATAAGAGAACAAACAACCCAATCAACAAATGGGCCAAGGACCTGAACAGACACTTCTCAGAGGAGGACATACAATCAATCAACAAGTACATGAAAAAATGCTCACCATCTCTAGCAGTCAGAGAAATGCAAATCAAAACCACCCTAAGATACCATCTCACTCCAGTTAGATTGGCAGCCATTATGAAGTCAAACAACAACAAGTGCTGGCGAGGATGTGGGGAAAAGGGTACACTTGTACATTGCTGGTGGGACTGCAAATTGGTGCAGCCAATTTGGAAAGCAGTATGGAGATTTCTTGGAAAGCTGGGAATGGAGCCACCATTTGACCCAGCTATTCCCCTTCTCGGTCTATTCCCTAAAGACCTAAAAAGAGCATGCTACAGGGACACTGCTACATCGATGTTCATAGCAGCACAATTCACAATAGCTAGACTGTGGAACCAACCTAGATGCCCTTCAATGGATGAATGGATAAAAAAAATGTGGCATTTATACACAATGGAGTATTACTCTGCATTAAAAAATGACAAAATCATAGAATTTACAGGGAAATGGATGGCATTAGAGCAGATTATGCTAAGTGAAGCTAGCCAATCCCTAAAAAACAAATGCCAAATGTCTTCTTTGATATAAGGAGAGTAACTAAGAACAGAGTAAGGTCAAAGAGCAGGAGAAGAAGATTAACATTAAACAGGGATGAGAGGTGGGAGGGAAAGGGAGAGAGAAGGGAAAATGCATGGAAATGGAAGGAGACCCTCAGAGTTATACAAAAGTACATACAAGAGGAAGTGAGGGGAAGGGGAAAAATAATATAAGGGGGACAAACAAATGTCAGTAGAGGGAGCAGAGAGAGAAGAGGGGAGGGGAGGGGAGGGGAGGGGAGGGGAGGGGGGATAGTAGAGGATAGGAAAGGCAGCAGAACACAACAGACACTAGTATGGCAATATGTAAATCAATGGATGTGTAACTGATGTGATTCTGCAATCTGTATATGGGGTAAAAATGGGAGCTCATAACCCACTTGAATCAAATTGTGAAATAGGATATATCAAGAACTATGTAATGTTTTGAACAGCCAACAATAAAAAATTTAAAAAAAAAAAAGAAAAAAATAAAAAGAAAAGTTATAACGCATCCTGAAAAAAAACCTTCTAAATGAATGTTTCCTTTAAATTAAAAAAAGTTAATTAAAATATTTTCAAGTATATACACTAATTGTGATATCTTTTGAGTATCATCTTTATGTAATCAGCACCAGTTTTGAAAATACTGCTAAAATACAGTCATTCCTTTTAAAAACATCAGTAAGTGGGAGACTTTTCCACTTTGGGTTTTTACTGGTGAACTTTCAATGCTAATGAAATGCTAATGAGCTCAGCATTTCTTATTTCTTGCTTTTCTCTTTCTACAGGGAAACTGATGAAAGACTTAAATTTATACATTTTTGAAAATGTTGAATCCATCTTCTGATTCCAAAATACCTTTTAATGCATTTTCTTACTAAGAGATACATTTCATTTCCCAGAAATCCATCACACCTTGCCTAATCGTATCACCATATGTTGATTTCTTTGTAGAATAAAATAGGCCTAAGTGAAATAAACATGTATCTGACTCTTCTATGGGGAGTGAAGTGGAATCTTCTAGATTAGTTTTAATTTTAGGACATGTCTAGTAGACTATCTTAGGACCACATTTGCAAGGAAGAGAAAAAAAGGTCATTAAGACTAGCAATAAGGGTTTGGGGTTGTGGCTCAGTGGAAGGGCACTTGCATAGCATGTGTAAGGCACTGAGTTCAATTCTCAGCACCACATAAATAAATGAAAAGCCTATCAACAATAAAAATATTAAAAAAAAAGACTAGCAATAAGAGCTGGGCTGGGTGGCGGGGGGGGGGGGGGGGCGCATGTCTGTAATCCCAGCAGTTCAGGAAACTCAGGCAGGAGGATCACAAGTTCAAAGCCAGCCTCAGCAAAATCGAGGTGTTAAGCAACTCAGTGAGATCCTGTCTCTAAATAAAATACAAAATAGGGCTGGATGTATCCCAGTGGTCGAGTGCCCCTGAGTTCAATTCCTGGTACCAAAAAAAAAAAGAATAGAACCTGAAAAATCAAAACCCTGAAGCTAATATATCCTTCTTACTCAGACTAAGAAAAAAAAAAAAAAACACTGTGCATTTCTTAGTTATTGCATATTCCAGAAATGTGAACAGATGAAGGAGGTGACTTCAGGCACAAGAATTAGAAAACTGCTAGGATGATGGAAGGAGAGGGTCATCATTATGCAAAATACATGTATGAAGATGTGAATTTGGTGTCAACATACCTTATATACAAACAGACATATGATAAATGGTGGTATAAAGGTGTATTAAGAATTGTATGCAAAAAAATGAGAGCTCATGTATAATGGCATAATTTGGTGTGAACATACTTTATATACAGAGTTACAAAAAATTGTGCTGTGAATGTATAATTATGAACGTAATCATCTTTTCAAATATCTATTCTCTACAATATGCTTCTAGAAATGTATCTGTGAACAAATATAATAACATTCATCAGTGATGGTAATTAATAATATACCAAACATATGTATGTGTGTATATACATATATTTATAAATTGGACTTAGACTGGGCAATCATGAAATTACCCTAGGAAGGTTATTTGTAACCAGAAATCTGACAAATGGATAAAAGTTAGCTCTTGCACAGGTGATGGAATTGGTATCTCTCTTCATGGAATGAGCTGGCTGCAGAATAAAAGATAATAAAGAGAAAACGGTGGGAAAAAAACACAGTACACAAGAAGTAATTTTGAAAAGCGGAGACAGGACGGTTCTTCAATCTAAGGGAATGAGCTTCCACACTGGAAAGAGAGTGATGAAGCCCACGCTTGCTTTATTTATATGGGGAAACATCAAAGGTTTTTGATGGAATGTTCTTTGCCAAATAAGGTAGGAGGTGGGCTGTCCAGTTCCCAGTGGGTTACGCCCAACTCCAGAGCTATGAGAGTTGTTTCACTAGTAAGGGAAGACAGATGGTCTGGGACGGTCTGATATGCATGGGAAAGCTGGGATAGTTCCCAAGAAAAACACCTAAGACTCCATGACTCAGTACCATGTAAAGACCCCTCAAGTAGCTCACAGGTGGTTCCCCACAATTAGCAAAGGGAGATAGATGGATGAGGTTTGATTCAGATAGGAGAAAACAGCCAAGGAAAACAGCCAAAGCATCATTCCAAGCAGAGGCAACATGAGAGACTGTACCATAGAAAACCAACAGAGAATTGTTGATCAGTTCACGTTTTTCAATCACTCTTCCTTCCTATGGTTCAATAACCCACTCCTCACAGTCCACTTTACAACTGTATGCAGAATGATGTTTCTAAAACACAGCCTCCTCTCATCATCCTGTTCCTAAAAACACTTTTAGTCAATCTCATTACCTACAACCCCACTCATACTGGCCTCCTCACTCTTCAAAGCCATCAGTGTCCTTTCCATACATGACACCAGGGTGGTTAGCACTCTCAGAATCTTCCATGCACTCTACAGTTTTGTACCTGCTTTTCCCTCTTCCTACAATACTCTTTCCAACTTTTCCATCTTACCGATTTCCACATTGTCTTCCTCTTCTATATATTTGGTCCCCCTTAGATTAGCATGTATCATATAGCAGATCAGCTCTATAACCATCTGTCTCTTCTGCCATACTGTGAGCTTACAGCTGTCATGCCATATGTCTTCAACTAATGCCTTATGAATGAACTGACTTAACATAAAACAAATTTGGTTTCTATCAAAAAGTAAGTGAGGAAACCGTGGTGTCTTATACCAGAAAACTTTGAAGCAAGGCGTCAACTCCTGATCCAGCTCCAACATTAGAATGCATAACATCTGTTTGTGTTCCTGCACCAACTTGAACTCTGAATGCTGCTTCAAGTTCCCTAGAAATAATCCATGAATGCTTTCATAAAGATTGTGAAGAAGTCACCAAAATGGCAGTTACCTTGCAATCACCACAGCAGAAGACTCCTCATTACATTCCTGTCATCCTTTTGAAAGACCACCTTGTAAAATACTTCCCACTTATAACATGAAAGGAAAATTGCCATGATATTTTAGATATGCAAATAAAATCGCATAAATATTTTGAGAGCTTCCTGTGAAATGTGTGTTGATCAGATCTGCATGGAAGCCGATTGAAAGTCTGGTTATCTGGGAACTTAACAGAGGCAATTCTGCTGTAAGATGGCCCAGATACATTTGAACTCCCCTCAGCTCTGCTCAAAAAGGTCCCACACAGCACCAGAGATGGGGTGACCTGCTGTAGTCACACAGCCTCTTTGAGATGTGTGTAACCCGCCAAGATGCCAATCAACCTTTGGACTGCAAGACATCACTACGCAAGACTCCACCTCTGAAACCTTACCCTTGCCTTTGATGTACCCCCTTAAATAAACCGCTGGAGCCATTTTCTAATTCTTCAGCTCTAGCACCTGTGTGGGCTGGACCCATCAGGCACTCTGCATTTAAAACTATTTTTCTGACGTTGCCTTTTATTTCTTTGCCATTTGAGACTTTTTCAGGTGGCTTATCCCGTCCCGACCAGGAAAAATTATCCTGTCAAGGTGCTTGCTACCTTACAATGTAAATACATTACCAAAACCTGTTGCTAGTATCAAAGCCTACTCAAACTCGAGTCTCACTGTTTCATTTCCAATTAACTCCTCCTCCTATTTAAGCAAAGCAGCAGGTGTTACTGCACCCATTCGACCAGTCTTTCTGGAACAGGTAACTCATTACTCTGTCAGAGAACATTAAGCTCAAGTATTAACTTTGAAATGTTCATTAACAATAAGGTTCAGATTAAGGAAATGGATGTCAGGGTTACAAATAAATTCTTTAACAAAACACATGCACACAGAGAGATCCTGAAAACTTATCAGTGCAAAGTCAATAGTCAGAATGATGCTTTTTTAAGAGCTCCTGCTTAAATACAGGAAAAGGACTACCAGAGTTCTGAAAAATGCTTCTGGAAACCATCAAATCATTCCCAATCACTAGACTCTAAGGTGCTTCTTCCTGGAACATGAGGCATTTAGTGTTCACAAATAGGCTCAGTGGTTGAAACACCTGGCCTGGGCCCAGCCAAGCCCTGTGACTCATAGAACAAGAAGCCTGGATTTGGGACTTCATTCTATCCTTGCACGCATTCTGCCTCCGTTCTGAATCTCCTTCTGCTTGTGTGTGAGTCTCCTTTTCTTACCACAGTCACATCCCCAGCCTCAGTCCCTGCCCAGGTAGCCCAACCCCTGCAGCATGTGTCCTTTCCCTCCTCCTCTTCTCTTTACCACTTGGAGAAGCAGAGCCCAGTGGCAGACACCCCAAACCACAGGTAATACTTCCACTGTGCTCCATGGTTGCTCTACCTCTGTTCCGGCTTTGAGGACTTTCCTGTCTTTGAAAGCCCACAAATTGTTTAAACTACTATTAGTTTGCTGCCACACCCAATCGATAATAACTTGTCCTCCCTGTCAGAATGAAATTATTTGTAAAGCCTGCAAAATGTAAGGTTTGACTTGAAAGGTAGACTGCCCTGAGGTCACTTCTAGGTTCATCACTTCTAAGTAACCTTGGGTTAGTAGCTTAACCTATGAGTTTCAGTTCCCACCTCTCAAAACAAGAAAACATTAGTTTTTACAGATTTTTCTTAAAAAGACTGTATATATATATATATATATATATATATATATATATATATATATATAGTCTTTTGGTCAAAGACGACTTGGACACACACACACACATATACACACATATGTATAATATATATACACACATATGTATAACATATATATAGATAGATAGATATAGATATATATAGATATATAGTACTGTGCCTGACAAGAGTTAACTAACAAATGGTAGATTTAAATGATAAAGACAACAAAAATTTGTGGTTTTCATAAGTTCAACTCATATGCAAAACCCCTTTTTGTTTTGAAACCCCTTGACTTAATTACAAGCAATGCCTGACATACATATGTAATTTTTAAACTGCCAGGGAAAACAACGTAAAAACAAACTATAGATTGAATGTATTTAAAGTCAGGTATTAAATATCCTAATGTCATAAAGAGCCCCACACTGAATACTACACCTTGCTTACAAACAACAAATGGCAACCGGACATGGTGGCACATTCCTATAATCCTAAAGGCTCAGGAGGCTGAGGCAGTTCAAAGCCAGCCTCAGCAACTTAACAAGGGCCTAAGTAACTATCTTAAAATTTAACTAAGCATTTGGCTTAGTGGTTAAGAGCCTCTGGGTTCAATTCCTGGTACCAAATTAGTATGGGTGTGTAGTAGTGGGGCATAAATATTATTTAGCCAAGTTTAGAGAACAGGACAACCACCTTACTACTTCCACAGATGGAAAATGTTCTGAGAATCTACAGTTTCATGACTATTCTTAGTATAAGGAAGGAAGCAGAGTAGTCCCTGGTGGGAACCGGAAGCCTCAGTAGCAGCAAAGAATGGTGTTTAGAGAAAATGCTCATCGAAGACTTAAAAAATAATGCCCATGTGCTATTTCTTA